AATCCCGCGAGGATTTGCACATGAAGTGCGAGCGCCTTTCTTGAAAATCGGGACAATAACTGATTCGCCCCAAGTGGAAGGCACTTTCTCTTCATGCCAAATTTTTTCGAACAGCGAGGTCAGCTGGTTAATGATCGCCACACCGCCGTACTTGAATAGTTCCGGATTAAGTCCGTCTAAGCCGGCAGCCTTGAAGCGCTTCAAGCGTCGAATTTCGAGGCAGACTTCCGCCTCGCTGGGTGGATTCAGAGGGACGAGCCAGGGTGGACAACAAGGTGTACTGCATGTACTGATGGATGGTGGAGGCCAGTTGAACTGCGAGTGAAAGTGCTCGGCGCAGCGGTCCATACGCCTCTGTTGGTTGGTGATCGGAGACTCATCCACCTCACAAATGACCTCACTGACACCAGGCTTCCTGAGGACAGTGGACCGAATGAGTTGGAAAAGCCTGCGAGTGTTGCCAGAGAGGGCAACGGTCTCCATCTCTAAAGCACGCTCAGACCACCATGTCTCGCGATCCTTGCGTAGGCTTTGCTCGAGCAGTCGGTTGGCAGAACGGCGCCGCTCGTTGCAATCTGGTTCCGCGGGGATATCTTTGCGGCGTTCGAACAGCTCCAGAGAACGAGCAGAGATCCAAGCCTTCAAGGGTCGTCGAGTTAGGCCGCAGCATGACTGTCCGGAAATGGTCATTGTCTTTTGTATACAAGTCCAGTGTTGTTCCACTTCTTGCGGTGGTGTGCAACTGAGTGCATATGCCAGTGATGACTGATAGCTTGCCTGGACAGAGGAATCAGTTAATCTGTTTACATCAATCTTGCGGTGCTTCGTGTTTCGGGATCCTCCAAAACACATACAGATTTTCGCGCAGACCAGAGCATGATCTGAGTCTACGAAGGTGGACCAAAAGGACCTGCAGTCCAGTACGCTGCCGCGCCATCTGAAGCTAATTGCAATGTGATCAATTTGAGACCACGGTTGTGTTGGCGAAGGGGGACGCCACGTTGCGGAACGCTTCTTCGTACGCCTGAAGTTAGTGCTCGAAAGAAACAGACGATTGTCTTCGCACAATGTGAGAAGCCTCTCTCCGTATTTAGAGCGGTTCTCATCGAGCGAGTGATGACCACCAAGGTGGCGTTCGTATGGTAACAGGCGGCCAACCCGTGCATTAAAATCCCCAGCAAGGATAACGACATCCGACTTTTTAGCATTAGTCAAAAGCTGTTGTAGATCCCGGTAGAATTCGTCCTTGACCGAGTCGCCACTGCAGTCAGTTGGAGCGTACATGGAGATCACAAACAAGTTGTGTCGCTCTTCGCGGTGTCTGTTGATTCTACATGAACCCCGAAGCCGAACTGCACATAGTCGGCTATTAATGGGGAACCAGTCCAGTAGTGCCGCCTCGGCCTTGCCACTCAGTGCTATACCTACACCAGCCAAACCCGCCGAGGCTGCTTCTGAATCTCCAGAAAGACGCAGGTAATATCTGGCTTCGTGGTCAGTGGGCGATGTCAATGTGAGTACAGTGCTGGGATCTTGCAATCGGGTTTCTGAAAGGCAGCAGACATCAATGTCAAGGGAATCTAGAGTGCGCGCTAGACCGGCTTGCTGTTCAATCTGCATGAGTGTCCGGACGTTGAAGCACGCCAGACGGAACGAGGATCGGGGACGAAGGAGAGCCATAGGTTGAATTCCTTAGTCTGCGGCGCAACCGGAATCGCAGCCAGATTGTTGAACACATGAATCGGGTAACGGAAAGTGAGGATTGTTAACAAACAAACAATTGGCGTGTGATGAAGTAGCGTGAAAGTGACTAGCAGAGACAGTAGCGGATGAGCACGTTGTAATACAGTCCATGGTAATGTGAGAGGGCCTGATACTACCCGGTTGCCCAAGCCGAAGTAGGGAGTTGACTTAGGGGACTCCACTCGGCGAGCCTTTGGCTAAATAATCTACCCGCAAGGCAGCGGGGCGAATTTAGGGAATCGCGCCCATTGGGAGGCGTTGACTGAATGTTCAGTTCATGCGTCTTTGTTTGGTAGATTACCAAATGGGGGCCCAATACTCCCCATGAGGTCAGCACAATTGCTGGAATACAATGCCCCACGGAGGTGGAACATTGTCGCCGAACACTTTGCTGGAACGGGGTACACCCGAACCATCCAGCTGGCACCACGAGGAGGTAGTTCGGCAAGTCAGCCGCTCTTGATAGGTCACCGGAAAGCACCAGTTGCTGCGGAGAAATTCAGTGCTTTGTATTCCTTATTCTACAGCAGTCATCCAAGCGTCATGGCATTTGTTTGATGGACTACAGGGGGACTTGGCATGCCACAGACTTACACTAGCCAATGCACGGGCAGGCCGCTTTGAGGTGAGGAAGAAAATATATAGTGCGTTCCAAGCTGCCGCTGCTTCGTATGTTGGAGATTATGAATCAACGGGAGACCGGCTTAAATACTTGCGAAGAATAGCTAATTTGCAATAATTACCATTGGTGTTAAACCTAGTGTTAAGCTATTTGCGCTCAACGGAAAATTGTATTCGCAATAACAAATCCTGTACCACTATATTTCAACCTACGTTCCGTCTCTTTCAATTTGAAATCATTTTTACGAGTGATTAGCCCGTTGTCGCAACGCTTACGTGGACAATTTTCCACGTGCACATTTCATTAATGAAAACGCGGTCCAGATCAACGCAAGTATAGTCACTCGTAATTTTTGCGTACATAAGTGGTAACACTTTCAAACGGCACTGGTGATTCCTGCGTACTAGAGTTGTGGAAGTATCAGCGCGCGTCGCAGATGCACGAGGGATCGTAAGCATATCGATAACCTTCCGTATCATCCCTCATTTCTGACTCAAATTAAAGCTATGGTGTTACGGGATAACCGGTTTCGCCCTTACCTGGGTACTTATCAGGTACCAAGTAAACTGGTCGCTTGTCAGTTTTTCGTCACAGAATCAAGAGACTTCTCAGATAAACGGAGGATCTCGTCATAAAGGCGGCCGCAAACAAAACCGGTGCCTGCCGATTAGCAGTTGCAAATTCACATGGAGGGATGATTATACTGACAACTTTTAAGTAGTCCATTTTCGTTTGACATATTTGTGAATAGGGTGCATCCACTTCATCGCGACTTCGTCATCGGTAATTTGTGTGCAGAACCAGGTTTCAGTCATAAAGTTGAGGTCCCACGCGTATGATAACTCTGATATCAGCAGTTAGTCGGGGGACGTGTGAATTGGATGTGCGGTTCCGCCAATCGCTGAGAGGTCGGCTACGATTCGTTTTTTCTATCTTATGCTGGCGACTGAGTTTGTGTCCTGACTGGGCTGTAATCGCCAATTTCGCAGGCTGGCTGAGTGATGGCATCTGAAGTGTTCCTCTTATGAGGCGCGACTCAGTTTGCTATGTCTGTGTGTTGCCTGGAGCACGTTGCCTTGAGCCAGAGCTCAGAAAGTAGTCTGCTACGAAGTGCATACCAGCGTTCTAATAATCGCGTTTATGTCTAGCTCGATTGAATCATCTCCATACATTGCGCCTTGGTGAGCTACGTGCTGGAGCGGAGAAACACTGCTCTATCTGAAGATCGGACCAAGTGTTGGAGATGTGCCTAATTATTCCCCGGATACAACGTTGTATGAGTGGGTGTGGGGTGACGTTCACTCCGGTAACACAGAGAAGTCAATGTTTGGCAGATCGTTTTTTGAGACGCGAATTCCTAATGTGTGTATTAAGTAAAGTACACTGGTTGAACTGGATTGTTTCGCAACCGTACGTGGAGAGGTATGTGAGCATCGTATTACATGATTCATAATTTGGGAATGTAGCGGAAAAATCATCAAACACACTATTTCTATCAATGACTGGGACAACGATCAATGCAGCCAAAGGCTTGGGTTGGAATTTTCGGCTGATACCAATTTCAGAGGAAGTCTTTAGGCCCATGTTGTTGACATTCCTTATGAGGCTTTGGCTCAGGTGAAGATAGCCGCCTTCGATTCTAGCGTCTGCAAAAGGAAGGTAAGGGTAGGCGGAACACTAATTCGGCCTGCTGACATCCAGAGAGTTTCAGGCGCCGATTCGTTGAGGTCTCGACTAACTGCATTAGGCGAGCAATGCTTCGTCTGTGTAGTTTTGCACATGGTTTTACAAAGCTGTGCAGTACGGTACATGTCCAGTGGTCGAACTAACAGGCACCTTGGGTTTGAATGTCAGAATTGTCACAATTTGCAACGTTTGGAGGCATACATCAAAGATGGGGCCTTGTTAGTTCCACACATAGACAAGATTGGCACCTGTGACAATGTGACCAGATTGCGAAAATGGGGTTACTTTTAGTGTGCGCATTATTCCGTGTGCGCTTTTTACCGTGCGAATTTTCGAGTGCACTTTCATCATGGAACCGTTTCCGCTCATCTGGTCGCTCTCACACCCGTCGGTACCTATTTGGGCTGTCCCGTTGATAGTAACATTTGCTACAAGAGAATTAACAGCCATTTGCTTCGGGTTCTGTGTGTGGTATCGTCTAATGCATCCGGGCCCAATGCCAACAGAACTGTTTGGCTCTCCAACATTTTCTTGGTGAAATAATTTTCTAGTAGAAGCGTCATTTTGCTACACAGTCCTCATAATAGAGACGCATCACACATTGCTGCGACTGCTTAGTGTTATTGTCATTACCACGTGGACGTAAGTTCATGGCAATTGGATTCATCGAAGTTCAATGATACGCTCGTAATTAGCCAACTGAACTCGTGATTTGGCGCAAAGTGCAAATCTGGCGAACAAGTGAATCGGTTATGCCTAGGAACTCAGTAACGCCGTCGTAAATTGGGACATCACTGCTAAATGAAGCAACCGAAGGACACGTCGATACGGAAGATTCTGCTCTCCTGTTCAGTCAAACGTCGAACACATTTTGTCGCTAGACAAGCAATCAGTGACAGGTGCTACCGCCCGCGTAATCCGAATTCAATGTTTACGAAGAACACGAGTGTCAGCGTCGCTTGAATTTATGTGATTTGATCAAATGTACACGGATGCCTTTAATTTCTCCGCTGTAAGGAGTGTCTTCATGGCGCATTGGCGGTACGCGAGAGCGGTAACGTATCACAGACTTGCGGAACTTGTGTCGTAAATGTACTCGGGGATTCCGTTCTCGTTTGTGTCGATATTTGACCAAACCCTTGTTTTGCAGTATCTGTAACGAAGAAGGAATGTGGACACTCATGTAGTGACACGGTGATTGGCAAAAATATGTGCTGCAGCAGTGCAATAGTCAATTACACACTAATTGGTGGGTACCTGTTTTAAACAGCGATCCGATAGTGGTCAGCGGTGCAGCAGGTTTCATAATTATGTACGTGATGTTCCTTGAATTAGGACTTATTGTATATTATGAACTAGGTAAAAATTCATCCCGTGTTCACATCCAACTACTACTAGACTGCCCTTCAGTTCCAGGTGGCATTTCAAGATGGTGGATTCAAGGGTGATTTCGAAAATGCCGCGTAACAACCGTAGCGCGAACGGATTAATGCTTGCAGAGATTGTTAGAGGACAACGATAACAGGTTGTCCTAGGTACTCGCACAAAACCAATAATAACGCGACTGTCAAACTCGTGATTTCGCCCATATGAACGCAATCAGAGCATAACTTAATGCAAATTTTCGATGGTCAGATATGACAGCAACTTACTTCTTTCGTGATTGGCCGGTTGGGGTATACTTTACCGTCAGAGTTGTCCACCGTTGATTCTCCACCTACCATCTCTGTGGATGTATCGCTGTCTTCAGCCTCCGTACCCTGTTCCCTGCAAAAAATGATTTGCATATGGCCAAGAGTGAAAAGAGTTATTCTCCAACGGCGCATTCTCGCAACAGCGTATCTAATTCACTTTCTTCAGTGAGACAACTTTGACAATCTAAGTTCATGCAGTTAGGTTCAACTTGGCGACTACTACGACACATGGTACGAAAAGTAGGAAATCTAGCCGCACTTACAATTATCAACAAAAAAAGATAACTCGAGAGTGAGATAAAAGTGCCAGATGGAATACTTAAAAGACAGAAATTGCTAAACGAACGCTTCCGTGACCGCAGCATATATCTTAATTGTCCCGTCCCAACACATGCAACCAGCTGTTGCTTTCTCCGCATTGTATCCACAATTGAAGATGAAACGGTTGCTATCTAATTGCCCAGATCGGGCTACAAGAATTTCACATCAATTCAACAATCTGTACATCAACTGATGTGGCCGATCTCAAGCACCTAATTAATGAAAGGGAAAAGCACCGACCCGATTTAGTCTCTCAATGAGTCATGCCACTGACTGGCCACTTCGGGAGCAATATTGGCAAACCAAATAAGCTGAAGCAATATGCTTGAAGGCTTCCAGACCTTGTGATCTTACTTTCCTGCACCGACGGATGAAACTTATTTTGCAAACACCTATGTAACGACCTATCTAAATCAATAAGCCATTTAGCAAAAAACTTGGAGGAACGAGGAGAGCACACGAGAAAACAGTGAACCCTGGAATAAATGCTGAAACGGTCATTGGTCGTGCCAATTTCATCCACTGCTATTCAGCCGGAATGGCTGCTGCGTAGGAGCGCGTGTACTTGTGTGGGTACGTGTTTGTGTGACAACCAGTGTCCGCCATTGATTCGCTTCGAACTAAAACTCGTTCTCGCGTTCATGTGACTATCGTGGCAGACAGTGTTTACGTGCTCACATGTGCTGAGTATAGTGTACCGCTTCACGCTTGCTACTAAAGTTTTCCTACTATCATACCGCTGTTCTGATTTCGCTTGAATGTAACAGATACTACTGGTTCTGCAAACGTGGCACACATAATTCAATTGTATGACTTACCTGATATGTTGTTCCGAGTCAGTTCTTGGCTAGAACAGAAGCAATCACACATGGTCAATAGATGTTGCAATAATAAAAGTCACCTAATGCATTCATATGGAGAGAGGGGTATGACACTACCAGGTCGCTGAAACCAGCGATATCTGGGGCAGAAGGCAGCAACTAGTGTTCACTGCAAGGAAAGGCACTAAAGTAAGAAGCCGTCCATTGGCAATGAGTCGGCTACTGATTAAGTTAGGCTAATTTTTGCATCAACAGCAGTAGGAATTCGAGAGCATGGCATTCATGGGGTCCAACCAACCTTCAGAGTTCTACTTCTCAACGCTTTTTTCAGTGCCTTGGCGGACAATAACGACTGCTTGCTGGAAGGTAGGCAGATGAATCAGCAATAGGGTTGTGAGCATCACAAAAAGATGATCGTCATGCATCGTAAAACTGAAACCGTTGGTAAACAACTAGGTGTGCACCAAAAGATACGGATGTTTCGTGCGTTAAAAATCCTATCGTGTGTCAACTCATCCAGGACCTTAACCGTAGCTTAATAGAGAATACGTGCGTAGGTGTGCTCGACTAGCATAGACCATTCACAGTTAGAGACAACAGCACATAAATCACACGTTTCACGAACATGGCATAACTAGACATGCGAGATGAGCGATGACATTCCAAGAAAAAGATGTAGAATGAAAATGTGCCGTGGAGATTTACTGAGGTTATTCCCCGTGACAGTGAAAGGTGAGTTACACGCTCAGCTAGTCTGTAACGGGCTGTCTCCGCTGTTAATAAGACATCTACCAGAAGCGGAAACATACTCTGCTGCACAGGTACAACTCATCACTCAGGTATACGTGGTTTAAACGAGTTTCAAACCAATGAATTCATAGCTACTAGCTTAACTACTTTAACAAATATTCGCTGTGTAAACTTAGTGTCCAATAGTGCAGAAGGACAAGACGATCGGCCGAGCCTAGTCACTTGGCTTCTGATAAAAAGTTGCATTCGTAGTACAAAGCGCCAGGATTACGTTTACATATATACGCAGGATACATCACAAGGCATGTATATTTAAGGTCAGTAATGCATGCTGCATACATGTTGCGACTAACCGAGATAAGCGTACTCATTCGGAGGACATCTGCCAAGCTGTCTTTATTACAGACACTGTGTGAGTGAGTTAATGAATCGCGTTATCTTTGAACGTGAATAATAGTCGAGCTGAACTGAATGAGCAGGGAAGAATCTTTCTACGTGAGGTATTAATGGGCCGAAGTAATTCTGTGTAGAACTAGCTCCATTCACAGTTTCTCATATCTTCACGACTCATCACCATTATGATCGCTTTTGTGGGATCAGTATAGTCAATCGTGTGTGCGTGCTCAAAGAGCAGCTTCCAGATTCATCTATTAGTGAAGCAACGTGGATTGTTGATGGCCATATCCACGACGGTATCAAATTAGCTGGACGAAGCAATTTAGGGATCAATACAGAAACTTCCAATCAAGAGCCGAGGTCCGAAATGCAGCCACAGTCTACGGACGTTTCTATGCTATCAGTTCAGGTTATCTCGTCTCTGCACTCTCTAGGGAATTGAGGTGAGGTACTTCGCAAAAGAATTAAGCATAGCATTAGTACACATTGGGGAGGGAGAAACCATTCCAACTAACTTGAGCGAGCTTGTCGCAATGGTAATTTTCAATAAGGACAATCGAAATTTCCGCTCTAACCACACCAGTACCGGAATGACGCCGATGGTGATATGATAACTGGCATCCACGAAAGCGGAGTGAAGGTCCCGAACGAGAAAAATAACGGGTACGTATCTGACTGCGGCTAGACTACAGAAAATTTTCACTACGTGAAAGAAACTACGGCCGCGTCAAGTACTGCGGGCCGACCACAGCTCTGTTAATCGACTATGAGGATATAAGCAGTACGCCGGGACCTGTACCGGTGCTACGCTAATTCATGCGGACTGAGGTATTATGAGATCGCCCGAATACATGCAGGTCCGAATCAGTGATCGCTGGATTACAATCGGAACATCACTGGTCGGAGAATCGTAGGGGCGCATTCTACTTTGTCCGACGAAGTTGACTGGATATGGGTTCCAACGAAAAGAATGAAGTTGGCATTCGTCGGACCGGTTCGCCTTCCAGGATGGGGACCGCGCGACTCGGACAGCCAGTGGTTGGAAACGTTTGTTATGGCGCACAACAGACATAAGTCGCGACGGTGTTGCTCAACCACAACATTTGTAAGCGTTTGATCGAAGATCTACAAAAAACTCAGAAAAGCTCAAAGTGGCGTGTGTAAAACCAGAAAGCGGCCTTTTTCTTCTGTGATTATATTTCACTATCACCATTTTTTGCCGTGATTCAGATGGCATATTGTCAGAAATCACATTGTGAATATATATATATATATATATATATATTTGCCCTATGCTGAGGCTGATGTTGCATTCATAATGCCTCTTCACCGCAGTTGGACTAAAGCAACTTACACGTAAACTAGGTCTTTTTAAGCTGGATAAATTTCATTCCACTTTATTTGGTTTCTTCTGCATATTTGATAATCTTCTCCTAACTTGCACACGTCGCTCATGCAAATTGTGGTAAATTTGCGTAATTTTATCGCGTGGCATTTTTTGAATAACTTTCGGACATTTTGTACTCATTGCGGATTCACTTATAACTAATTTCCTCCATATGCTCATTCAGCGAGTATTTTTGTCGTCATATGCGTTCACTTTATTCGATATCGGCATTTCGAATGATTGGCTGTTGTTTGACATCCCAGGTTTGACTGCGCTTGATGTGCATATTGACAAGGTGTCTGCCTGTCTATTACCCACTAATTCGTCTATCTGGTTCCCGGAGACAGTTGGTCGTTGCTGGAGCGGGGGGGTCGGGTTGCACGGTCCTTGTGGTTGTGCTAGGCTCGAATAGCGGTTCCATGCACTCAGTGTGGAGCGGACTACGGTCCAGCCACCGCCTTGTGTGCGCTTGATTCCCAAATACAGTGTGCTTGTGTTTGCTGTGAAGGAGTGTGGGCCGGTTCCGTTGATGAAACATGGTTCCCATCCACATGCCTCCCGGTCTTATTCCTTCGGGTTTACACTGGATATGGGGTGTGTGGATGGAGCTGTGGGTGGTGCAGCGCAAGCCATCCATGGTCTCTCTGTAGGCGCGGGCGTCCTGTGGCTGGCAACAGTGACAGGCAAATGCGAAGCCGGATGCTGCCAACCATATATATATATATATATATATATATATATATATATATATATATATATATATATATACAAAAATAGAAGATTATTGTCAAAGAATAGTAGGGGAGCTTTGATTTCATTTTGCAAAGGAATCATCGCAACCCGTCCATTGTCAGACAGCCTCCATACACACGAAAATGTGCGCGAATTCCTCCGACGCAGCTTACAGTCGAAGCTGAAATCAGTGTGTGCAGAAGTCAATGGCTTATCACCAGGCCGTAGTTGGAAGTGACGGTTGTCATCCACATTCCTTCTATATGTGAGTTAGAGGAGAGAAACATCACAGCATCTGTACAGCAATGCCAGAGGAACTCAGTTCTAGTTGTTTGCTCGTAGTAAAAGGCAATGCCAATTTTGATACGAAACGATCCATAGGATGGATTTAAGTAAAGAAAAATTAAAAAGCAGTGGCTTGTTTCTGTCAGAAGACAACACGGTAAAAAAGTAGGAGTTGAGACAGGCGCCTATCCGAATCTAGGGCGCAACATCACGCTCGGCAACCGTAAAAAAATAATGTAGCAGCTGTACGCCGTAACGGCGCTTCGCTTCCGTGCGACCACCACCAGTCGCACGCGGGTTGAGTATACCGCGAGGACGCCCACCCCTATGCGGATTCAAACTCGCGCTGCAAGATTACGAGACAAGCTCGTTACTTCTAGGCTACGGGCCGACAATCGTTAGACGACTGCATGTGCTGGCGACAAACCAGTTATATTGCACCATGGAATACTGCGATGCTTAACGACAGGTCGTAGTTCTAGCAAACGTATAAGTGAAAGAATTATCCGGAACTAATGAAGAGAGAATAGCAAATATTGAACTTACAACTGCTCCCTAATGTTAGCGTCTTCAATCGACTTGGCTAGCACTCCAATGTTTAAGCGGACAGGAGACTGATTTGCTTTCGCTTCGTTGGCCAACTTGAGCAAGCGATTGCCTACCACATTGAAAAATCCGGAGTCAGCAGACAAGGCAGCCTGTCGAGACTGAAATCAGGAAGAGTAAAGAAGTGTATATGCCACCAAGAACATTAATGCGCCTGAAGCACGCTAAGTGAGCTTATGAATCAAGCGCTGAATCTCATCAAAAATTAGTGAGGGCGTTGGTCTTTGGTTTACTCTGCAGCCGATTTTGGCATCACATCGAAAGAGATTACAATATTAGTGATTAGAAATGCGACCCAACGAGGGAGTGAAGACGTCAGCTGCTATCTTGTGATTACATCCACATTTTCAGAGAGCTACGCCAGTATATATATATATATATATATATATATATATATATATGGGGAAGAGTAGTCAGTTTCGCAAACTTCGACGGCGACTGACCCGAGAGCTCCGTCGCATTAAAAATGCATGGTGGACGGAGAAGGCGAAGCAGATGGAATGCTACGCCGAACGCCGTCAACACAAGGAATTCTTTGACTCCTTGAAGGCGGTGTATGGACCGAGATTGGAGCCGCTGAGGACACTGATCGATGGTAGTTCAGGCGCTACCTGCACCCAGACTGCAGACATAATGCAGGTCTGGCGGAAACACTTTGACTGTCTCTTGAACAACCGTTCAGAGATCGACTGGCCTACATTGAATGGCCTGAAGCAGCACGATGTGAAGGCGGATCTGGCGGATACGCCGAGACTGGATGAGACGCAGAGAGGCACTTGCTCAGCTGCGAAACGGCAAATGTGCCGGAGGTGACGGGATCCCACCTGAAGTATTGAAACACGGTGGACCCGCGTTGTTGTCTGCGCTGCACCACTTGGTGCAACGCGTGTGGATTGAGGAGGAGGTGCCTGCTGAGCTGAAGGATGCCCTTGTGCTACCACTGTACAAGGGCAAAGGTAGCAAGCAATGTTGCACGAATTATCGTGGCATCAACTTGCTGAGTTGTGTGGGCAAGGTGATTGCCCGAATCCTGCTCAACCGTCTCGTCAGTCAGGCTGTGGAACCTAACGTGGCGGAAGAGCAGTGTGGATTCCGCTCGGGTCGCAGCACTATAGATATGGTGTTTGCGGCTCATCAGTTGCAGGAGAAGTGCAGAGAACGACACCAGCCTTTGTACTCGCTTTTTGTTGATTTCATCAAGACAGTTGATACGATGGACCGCGAGACATTGTGGCTGGTGTTGGGTAAGTTTGGTTGCCCGCGTGAGTTTGTAAGTTTAATTGGATATCTGCACAGTGGTATGCGAGCGAGGGTGCAGCTGAGTGGAGAGACCTCTGATGACTTTGCAGTTGTCTCTGGTGTAAAGCAAGTCTGTGTGTTAGCTCCTGCCCTGTTTAATATCTATCTTCATGCCATGATGTCTTGTGCTTTTGATGCGGCTTGTGCTTACGGTGTTCGTGTGGAGCACAGTATTGATGGTGGGTTGCTGAACATCCGTCGTTTCGGTGCGAGAACTCTAGTCTGTGACACAACTATCCGTATGTTGCTGTTTGCTGACGACTACGCGTTGTTTGCACACAGCGCGGATGAGTTGCAGCACATGACTGCTCTGGCTTTGACAGCGGCCAAATTCGGGCTCACCATCAACACAAACAAAACTGTCTGTCTCTTTCAGCCTTCACCGGAGGTGCAATATTCAATATAACCGAGAATCAGCATTGGCGCTGAAGTATTGAAAGCCACCTCCCACTTCTGCTACCTTGGGAGTGTGATGTCGACTGATCAGCAGCTTCACAGTGAGCTTCGTATCCGCGTGTCGAAGGCAGCGGCGGCATTCGGGAAGCTTGAGTACCGAGTGTGGAACAACCATCAGCTTAGCATTGGCACGAAGCTGATGGTGTACAAATCCATGGTACTGTCCGTTCTTCTATACGGCAGTGAAACGTGGACGATGTACCGGCGGGATGTGCGATATCTCGAGCGGTTCCATCAGCAGTGTCTGCGACGAATTCTGCAGATCGGCTGGGGCGCCAGAGTTGCAGACACGGAAGTGTTGCGCCGAAGTGGGATGTATGCAGTGGACTGCATACTTTTATTGAGACACCTGAGATGGCTCGGTCATGTGAGCCGCATGGACTCGACGCGGATACCGAAACAACTTTTATACGGTCAGCTGAGTATTGGGAAGCGGCACGTGGGGAAACCAAAGTTACGTTACCAGGACATGGTTAAAGTGAGCCTCACACGTTCTCATCTTGATTGCAGATCATGGGAATCGAAGGCGGTTGATCGGCCTGCGTGGCGCGATCTAATCACGAAGGCAGTTGCTGAGGTGCGGGAGAAATCCCTCATGCATGCAGATAAGAAGCGGCAGTTGCGGAAGCGGCAAGCACCGATGAATTGTACTCCATCGACATCGAGCGCATTGTGCTGTAGAACATGCGGTCGCGAGTGCCTTAGTCAGGCAGGCCTAGTGAGCCATGAGAGAGGTCACTCGGGACCACCGACGAAGCGACGACGGGTTCTGCAGTGAACGTAGGCAGTACCGGCGCAGCGTTTGTAGGCACGCTGAATTCGATTTACTAACCGCATGCTTGCATGCCAAGTCTCTTTATTTCAGGTGGTGGGTTTTCGGTTCTCTCCTAATGCCTTTCTTTCTCAAATAAATGTCTAGTGGGCCATGCGCTGTGCCATTTGGGGCCACTACAGAAGCGAAGACGGGTCCCGCAGTGAACGTAGGCAGCACCGGCGTAGCGTTTGTAGGCACGCTGAATTCGATTTACTAACCGCGTGCTTGCATGCTAAGTCTCTTTATTTCAGGTGGTGGGTTTTCGGTTCTCTCCTAATGCCTTTCTTTCTCATATAGATGTCTAGTGGGCCATGCGCTGTGCCATTTGGGGCCACTACAGAAGCGACGACGGGTCCTGCAGAGAATTACGACGAGCCGGCGCAGCGTTTGTAGGCACGCTGAATTCGATTTACAAACCGCGTGCTTGCATGCTAAGTCTCTTTATTTCAGGGGGCGGGTTTACAGTTTTTACCTTACTGCTTTTCTTTCTCATATAAATGTCTACCCGTTCTCTATTCTATTAATTTACACACCTCACCTAAGCCAATTGTATTCGATTTCCGTAGCATTTTTGTGTTCTTGGCATTCCGTGAACTATATTTCCTGACCTCGTGCACTTAGCTAGGATTTGTTTGTAAACAACTTATTATATATGCTATTTAATTAAGGTTTATATCACCGTTTCCTTATGCATTAATCGAGTTTTTCTCTTTCTCTTTTTCTTTCTCTCTCTCTCAAGTGTTTGGCTGTTGTTTGAAATCCCCGGTGTGGATGCGCTTGATGTGCATGTTGACAAGGTGTCTACCTGTCTATTACCCACTACCTCGTCCATACTGGCTCCAGGAGACAGTTGGTCGTTGCTGGAGGGGACGGGGTGCACGGTCCTTGTGGCCGTGCTAGGATCAAAGAGTGGTTCCATGCAGTCAGTGTGGAGCGGATTACGGTCCAGCCACCGCCTTGTGTGCGCTTGATTCCCCAACTACAGTGTGTTTGTGTTTGCCTGTGAAGGAGTGTGGGCCGGGCTCTGCCCAACGCTGTAAGTGTTCTGATAAGCTGTGGATAGGCTGTCCACTCTCGTCACGTATAGTTTCACTAACACCAGGTCTCCTGCTGCCCGTTTCCCGTATCAGACCGAATAAATTACGATGGTTACCAAGGGCAGCGACCATTTCCATCGCTGTTGCACGATGATACCACCAAGATTCGCGGTCTATCTGTAGGCTGGCGCGGAGTTTTGCCCGGAGCTCTTTGCGAGTTTCAATGTGCTCGCTTCCAGCCGGAATATGCCGGCGAGCATCGATAAGTTCCAGAGACTGGAAGAGACCCAATATCCATGTTGGGGATTAGACGCACCACATGAGAATTTTCCTGCTGCTAGTAGGGTCCGGTGAAGGTGATACCAGTGAGCTTCAATTGCATCCAGTGAGCGTTTATCCAACTCGCATGACAGCGTACTTTGATAGGCATTCAGAACAGCTGACTTCGCCAGTTGGCTGGTGTCAATGCGCTCACGAAGTCGTCGTGGGGGTCCGCCAAAACGCATCCGCAGGTCAGCACATACAAGTGCATGGTCGGTGTCCACACCTGTGCTCCAAATCGAGCGACAGTTCTGGACGCAGCCTCTCCATCGGTAACTTATCGCAACGTAATCGATTTGCGTCCATAACTGGTTCGAGGCTGGTGGGCGCCAAGTCACCCTTCGGCGGGTGCTGTATCGGAAATTTGCTCGCAAGGAATAAGCGAGCATCCTCACACAAATGAAGTAACCGCACACCGTTATCGTTACGGGAGCCTATACAATGTTGTCCGCCCATATGCAGCTCATTTGTGGTTAATTTTCCAACTTGTGCGTTCAGATCCGCAGCCAGCACAACAGTGTCCGAGCTTCTTCTGTGGTTAAGGAGCTCGTTCAGTTGACGATAGAAGTCGTCTTTTACCCAGTCATCGCTACAATTTGTCGGTGCATAGACAGCGATAACGAATAGACACCTGTTAGTCCCACGTGACTTCGAAGCTTTGAACGAGCCAGCCAATCAGACCGCACACATCCGGCTACTGATTGGAATTCAATCAACCAGAGTAGCTTCAGCCCGGGGACTCAGGGCAATAAATACACCGGCTTGGCCGGTGCTCGAAGCTGCATCATCACCGGATAGGCGCAACGAGAAAGTGCTGCTAGTGTCACCTATATGTGATCGTAGAGTGAGCACAGAGCTCGAGTCTTGCAGGCGAGTCTCCGATAAGCAGCAGATATCTAATGTTCGAGCAAGTGCTGCCTGTCGACCGATCTGAAGCAATGTGCGAACATTGAGTCATGTCAATCTGAAGGAGGATCGAAGGCTCCAAATGGAAGCCGATGAACTGGAATGGGCCGCTTGCTTGGACATGGGCCTGTTGACATGGCAGGAATGGCGCTCCGCGTTCACATGTGAGATGAAACTAAAAGGCAAGCGACTATTGAAGCAACGTGGGGGAAGGCCGAGAATTGGGGGTTGAAAACAGGGGGGATAAAAGTGAAGCTGGAACGGGACGATAAGGGTGAAAAAGCGCAAGGGAGGAATAAGAAGACGGGAAGACTTGAGCAGTAGTATCCAAACCCCTAACTACCCTGCCCGATGCAGCAGATAAGGCACCGTTGATTATCCTTTGCGGTGGCCAGAGCATCAGAAATTTGTTTGAAGTGTGATTCATTGTATTGCGTGGGCAGGATACTGTCAGGTTGCCTAGGCCTAGACAGGAGAACGATTAGGGTTCTCAACAAAAGCCTTTGGTTCAAAAACCTGACCGCAAGGCAGCGGGTTTGGCATTGGGCTACAAGGAGTCCATTTTAAGGAATAAGGAGCCACCCTCATTCCAAAACCAACCTGGAGGGCCAGGAGGCTGAGTTTGTCTGGCCTCTAAACATTGACCAATCTGGTATGAGTGGCTCTGAAGGTGCAAAAAATGCACCATGCAGTATAGCTCATTCGATCACAGAGGCACACAAACCATCGCACCACGGTAAGGTCCAGCCTCATTGGGATGGTATCGTGTGTGTTGATTTGGCTCTCTTTTGGCACATAAACGCACCGGTTTCCTTGTTGGATCAACGACGTTTTTGAAGGTGGAACATTAGCGGGATTTTCTTACTGTTCCGGTCCCACTTGAACTTCATTGGCTGGTAGAGAGCAGAAGGGGATCGCGTGTCAGCTCCTTCGCCTCCCGACCTTCTAAGGATGGCAGGAAAATTGGCTGTGTCATATTTCAAGATGTAGTATCAGTCCTGTATGATCCTGTAGTACTCAGTAGGAAGATGTCTTGCAAACGTTTGAAACTCCCTTCTGATTGTGCATTGATAATGGGGTCCGGCAGTCGGTTCCGATCATTAATTACGCGAGTGGAGAGAGTAACATCTGAGGGGACTTTGAACCTCCTCGGTTTAAACAGCTTCCAGCTGTGACCTCGAGTCGAGCTGCCAAGTCTTGGCTGAAAAAACCGCCTTAGCTCGTTTCCCAGTTCTCCTCGTAGGATGCGTCTGGTATAGATGAGATCGCCGCGACGTCGGCGATAGTCTAAGGAAAAGAGGTTCATCCTCTGTAGTGGGGTGGGGTACGGGAGTTTGAGTAGCCCAAGGACAAATTTCGAGGCTGGTCGCTGAATTTTTTCTATCTTGTCACTTCCATGTTTAGATATAGGGGCTATGGCCGGAGGTCCAAATTCAAGAATGGGACGGATATGGGGGTGAAGCGAAGTCTGAATAAGTGCGGCGTCATTTTAGAGAATGATCTCCTTATGACGCCCCACATCTTGTTCGCCACAGCAGTTCTCTTTAACGTGTCGAGGGTCGTTTTTAGATCAGAAGAAATTATTGTGCCCAGGTCCTTTTCCTGTGTGGCAACCTTGAGTAGGTGCCAGCCAATGTGCTACATGCCCAGTGGTTTAGCAGCACCTATAGGAAGGACTAAGCACTTATCATTGTTGACCGGCAAACCCCACTTGAAAGACCAAGAGTGTGGTACATCACGCGTTTCCTGTACTCGGTCGGAGTCTTCGAGGCTGGACACTTACGACCATAGCTGGAGGTTGTCTGCATTGA